GATCAGTGAAAAGTTAGGGTCAAAGCAAGAGTCACGTACTGCCCCTTCCTTAGGAGTTGTTTGATCTTGGACAAAATACCTTGGTCTTCCTAGTGTCTCAGTTTATCATCAGGAAAATGCAGGTAACCATTCCTTCATTATTATTTAAATGGCCATGGGAGGCAACTTGAGTTTGTTTTCCTGTTATTTCATATGCTTATTTTCGAAGCTAATGATTACCAATGCCATCTCCTAGCTAACTTTGAAAAGATTATAGTAGAGGGGCGCCTGGGTGGCTCTGTAGGTTCAGCAGCTGCTTTTGGCTCAGGTCAAGATCCCAGCGTTGTGGGATCCAGTCCCACCTTGGGCTTCTCCACCTGTTCTGCCTGCTGCTCTCCCTGCTTATGCTCTCTCTCTCTGGCATATAAATGAATGAAATCTTTTAAAACAACAACAACAAAAAAGATTCTAGTTGAGTATACAGGAAAGCTGACTGCTTGGGTGTATGGTTGTGAGTGCAGAGCTGTTCCAGATTCCAGGACCGAAATTCACAGTTCCCTGATGGCCAGTGCTCTCTCCAACTGCTCCTTGGCTTTTGTTGTCAACATTGGAAGTTTCAAAGATTCTCTCTATTCCTGTATTCTCTGGTACCAGAATTTTTTTCTTCCTTTCCTGTCGTTTTTCCATGAATCAGAATGCTACTCTGAGCCTTAAACTGGAAAGTTCCATCAGAATTCCACATGAGGGGCACCTGGCTGGCTCGGTTGATAGAGCATGCAACTCTTGGATTGTGAGTTCAAGCCCCATGTTGGGCATAGAGATTACTTAAAAAAACAGAATCTTTAGAAAAATTTTCAAATGACTGCAGCTTGGAACTGCCATCCAGGCAGCCAGGTGTTGGCTGTGTGGGACGTGTGCAAACATAATGGATGGGGCAATGTGGAAGGGACACAGATGACAGCAAATAACCATGGTGGGGAAGAGTGAACAGAGCTATTCACTGGATTTCTGTGAACGCTATGGATGTCCAAAATCAGATTTTATATTTCCAATTAAAAATGTTTATATTACAGTTATATTTTATAATAATGGTAATTTTTGGAGTCACTTCCATCTTACTTTATGCTTTCTGATTTCTGTATTTTTCATTTATTCCAATTTTTTCCAGCTTCTGTCAGTTTGTCTGGGTTCCTCTCCCCTCCCCTGACTTTTCCTTTATTAAAGTAGGCTCCATGCCCAGTGTGGAGCCGAACATGGGTCTTGAACTCAGGACCCTGAGATCAAGACCAGAGCAGGTATCGAGAGTCAGATGTCCAACTGAGTCACCCAGGCACCCCTTAATAGTTTTCTTTATTCCATATTTATCCCTGTACAGTTCCTGTTATTTTAGCAGAGACACTACATTGTAACCTACACACTTGATTTTTCTAACACAATGTAAAGTCAAACACCTTTAACCTCCCTCTGAACATCAGCCTCTTCTGGTCTGCAACTGTAATTCAACCTTACTTTAAACCATAGTATTTTTGTTTTTAGTCAATTATTTTCACTTTAACAACATACATAGATTTCTTTGTTCATTGTTGCTTTTTATATCTCATTCTGGGCTCTTTTGTTCTGGGTCCTCTTACCTGCTAAAGGACAAGATATACAACAGGGCTTTCAGCTTATGTGGTGGGGAGTAAACAGGGCTCTTTGTGTGTCTGAATTTTCTTCACTCTTGCTCCATAGTTTACCTACATGTACAATTCTAGGATACCATGATTTTCTCTCAGCCCTGTGATTTGGTAACTCCATTGTTTGCTGGCATTTATTATAGCCAACGAGACTGTAAATGTACCTGTCATCACTTCACAGCTCTTTTCTCTGGGACATTTTTAACATTTTTCTCTTCATCTTTGATGTTCTACAACTTTACTCCTTTATTTAGGTGTGGACTTTTTAAAACATATCCCCATTAGTACCGTGTGGTTGTAAATGTGGTTTGTCTGCCTGTTGCCTCCACTCTGAAAAATTCTTAGCTCTCCCAGTACTGCCTTCCCCTGTTGTCTTCATTGTATTTACCTACCTGAAATCTTATATTTTCAATCTTTTGTCTTGTTCTGATGTACCCTGGTTGATTTCATTGGTCTGGGGTTTGGGGGGCGGGGGAGGACTCTATTTTTTCCAGTTTACTGTGTTTCCCCTTGCCCTTTAACATTTCATTGTCCAAAACCAATTTTCAATTCCATGTTCCTTATGTGGGGGGCTGGGGAGGTATCAGGCTTGGTTTCATAAATTCCTGTTTTTGTGACTATTACTCTAGTTTCTTAGGAGTTTAAACCTATCAAAGAGTCTTTTTTTCCCCCCCCTAGATTCCTCTTATGTTTATTTGCTAGGTTATCAACCTTCTTGTTTGTTGGATTTGGTGCAAGTTTTTTATGCCATATATTCAGTTGTCTTTATATTCAAATGACAGCTGGCTGGTTATAAAAAAAAAAAAATTAACCTTATTATTGCTGGGCGGCTTTGTAGGCAGCACAGCATTCTCCGATCAAATGCTGCTGTGAGGGTGTCTGCAGCGGACTCAGAGAAGGGAAAAAATGGCTGTTTCCCTGGGAGGATTCCGTCTTCAGTCTGTATTAAGCTGTATCTTAGTATTGATTATTCATTGCCCAATTTTCCTGAAACACGGCATGTCCAATTTAAGAGTCAAATTTGTAATTGAGAAAAACTCAAATTTTCTAGAACTGTTTCCAACCTTTTCCCCATTTCATTTTAAAACGCTTACTCTGAACTCTTTCTACTTAATGTCCTTTTTCTTACTTTCCAAACCTTAATCCTACTTGAACAAGCAATCATTTTTGTTTAAAAACCTACTGGAAATTGGCTACAATGCCTATCCCCTTGTGGCAACATTTTTAGGTGAAGTCTTTTCTTTTCCTATCTCTTCCTGTTCTTCACCTTCCTGTCTTCAAGTAGGTTTTCCCTAAAGCAGCTATTTGAAAGAATTTAAATTGGGCAGGACAAGGGCCATGTTCTAAGAGCAGGGATTTTCCTGGCAGTGACCCAGGTTTCTCCTTGAACATCATCCCTGCTGCTTTTGCAACCCTTAACCCAACCAGGTCCCAGAAAACTTGGGAGCTAGCCTGGGTGTCCCACCCCCTTGGGGAACTGCCTGCTGGCTTTGATCTTGGGGCAGTCTTCCATCTCATACCCCTGCTCCATCTTCCCTTTCTTTCGGGCAGCCCTCAATTATACGGGCAGCCCTCAGCCCTCAATTCTAAGTTTCAAAGCTTGATGTGTTTGATTTTATCAGAGGGTCATTTTCCCGTAGCCTCCTTTGCGTAATTGTTGTGTTGATGAGTTCGGAACCTGGGTAAAAACAGCACTTTCTCAAACCACAGGCAGGTAGAGGCTGGGAGGTGCTGTTTCTCTTCATTACCTGTCTTCCCCTCTTCAGGCGACAACTGTTAGTGGTAAGACCACAGCCACAACTGTACTGACCCCGCCCTTCCCAGCAGCCTTCCCCTGCCTTCTCGCATCCTGTCCACACTCTACCTATGGTGATCACCACCCATCCCTAAAGTCACTCAGTAGGTGGACATGAATTTTCCACATTCCCATGTTTCCTGTCCCTAATGGTAATAGTTACAAAATTTCAACAGGAAACAAAATCGAGCTTTTTATAGGGACAGTGTTTTGCAAATCTAAGGATGTTTTTGGTTATCAGTGGTGTGTCTGTCCCATCTTCCCTTGAATCTACCTCAGCTGATTGGAAAACTCGTACTAAAAAGCACGTTTGTGTCTCCCTGCCTTGTGTTTACCAGGTTTAATGACCTCCTTTCACGGTACCGGGAACTCGAAACCTGGACCCACGATCTTGCCCTCCCAGCTGTGGTGTGGCTTTCCGGCTTCTTCAACCCTGAGTCCTTCCTAACTGGTAAGGGCTGCCGGCCCCCTTGCCCTGCTCCCCAGGGCTCACGCAGGGGCCAGCAAAGGGGCACAGAGAGGGAGCAAAATTCCAAGTGGAAGGGCCACGTGAACTGGGATGTAGTTTACTCTAGTAAACATTTTCCATCAAGGGCCACATGGGCTCCTTCCCAGAGGCTCCACTCTACCCCGCCAGCGCCACACCAGATGACAGGTAACCATGGCGCATGGCTGTCCCAGTAAAGTTCTTCCACAAGAGCAGGGCAGGTGTCCTGCAGGCATTTGCCAGCACTGGTCTAGCGCAGCCTCATGCCCCCTTGAGGGCCAGAAGTGTGTCGCAGGGCGGTGGCCTTGGCCGGCTTACCAGCGGCTCCTGTGAACCTTCACACAACCTCCTCCTTTTCCTCCCACAGCAATCATGCAGACCATGGCCCGAAAAAATGGGTGGCCACTGGATAAAATGAGCTTGACTGTTGATGTCACCAAGAAAACAAAGGAAGATTATGGCCATCCTCCACGGGAAGGTGCCTATCTCCACGGGCTCGTCCTGGAAGGTAAGCTACCCCCAGGAGCCCATGCAGGGGTAGTACCTGAAGGCCCGTTCTTAAATTTGGCTGGGCATTTGCCCTTGTTCACTCCACTCCTCAGCAGTTACTTTTCTCTAATACTTGCTTACCTCATTTCCTAGTTTCACAAAATTTTATACCAGGTTCTGTGTTCAAGGCCAGCCCAATCTTAAGGCGTTTAGGGTGATGGCTATCAATTCGGTGCAGGCCTTAACTTACTCTGTGGTGTTAACACGAGATGTAGATGCAGATTTAATTCAAAATCTTAATTAAAAAAACCAACTTCACTGCTTTTTTACTACCAGACTTCTTTAAGCCCTTAGAATCTCTAAAGGGGGTTAAGAGGGAATGTGCTGAATTAGACAGTTACACTGAGAACAAATTCATTAGCTATACTGTGCCTGGATTCCTATAGAATCTGTTTTCATGCAAATTTTAGACCTTTTGAATTTCAATGTAGTTTTTTCAAAGGAAAGCTGAGGTGTGGAGCCCTGCTTACCAGCACTCCCCATCCCCCGTGGCAAGAAAACTCCTGACAAGAAGTAACTGTGCCAAAACCAAACATTTATTGCCTCCAACAGGAGAGGAGCGGTACCCACATGCCACATTCTTGCAACTCTTGTGTTTTCTCGGTAGGTGCCCGATGGGACACACAGTCAGGAACCATTGCAGAAGCCCGCCTCCAGGAGGTCACATCGGTGATGCCCGTCATCTTTGCCAAAGCCATCCCCGCGGACAGACAGGAAACCAAACACACGTATGAATGTCCCGTGTATAAAACCAAAATGAGGGGCTCTAACTATGTGTGGACCTTCCGACTGAAAAGCCAAGACAAGACCACCAAGTGGGTCCTGGCGGGTGTGGCTCTGCTGCTCGAAGCATGAAAACGGGCCACAGCCAGGATGGTCACTGGGGTCCATACACGTTAATTTACTTTACTGAGAGCTACCAAACCTCCTCCCACTTAGATAACTTTGAAGTAATGTACATGTGCCTTAATTTTGTTTAAACACCATCCTTAATAAAGTCTCCCCATCAGTGAAGGGGAATTTTAGCTCTTGCAGACATTAAACAAAATCTTTTTAAATTAAAAATGAGCCCTGACATTCTTAGTCTGGCAAGCAGGTGACTCCTGAACGAAGGGGCAGCCGTTCCCGCCGGCCAGCAGGGCCCCACGGACTCCAGTGTCGCGAAGGTGACAGTCTACTTTCTGTTCACTCAAGTTTTCATAAAAATAAAACTCTAGTACTCACAAGATCTATGAATAATTGCACTTTGTAATTTAGGGGAACATTCTTTCACAAATTCCAACGACCCAGAGAAGGGTTAACTATGTGGTCCTGGACTAGAGGTAAAGATCGAGGCCACACAGGTAAACAGTGTCAAAGGCAAGAGCTGCTTATACAATGTTTTCTCTGGAACTTACCTGGACTTTAACTCCACCCTATTTAAACTGCTTTTTTTTTCATCGTAAGCAGGTGCTTTTAAACAATTCAATATATGTAGGGGCCTGCGGATACATGTATAGAGATTCCTCTGCTGTGCCGTCTTCCTGAGAAATCTTTTTAGACAATCTTAAAAAAAAAAATAGCATTTAGGTCTACAAAGAATTTCTGTATAAAAACACAATGGTAAGAAATCTTAGGCACAAGTGGCATGGCAGGGCCGGCCGGCGTGCTCTACGGTGAGCGGGCTGGCTCTTCTCTTAATTGTCTTCCACCAGCTGCTTCTGTAAGCTGAAAGACAGAGGGGACGGAGGCATATACAAGGTGCATCCTAGGCTCAACCCCTCACGGAGAGTGGGGAGCCCAAGCCCAGATCTTTTAGGCAAGGTCGGTCCTGCTTCCGTGAGAGGAGACCCTGCAGCCGGGCCACAGGAGCCCCGGGTCTCACTCCAGAACGGAGCTCTGGACTGCGGGGCTGTTTCCTCGGCCCCAGAAGGTGAGCACCGCCTCCCCGGAGCACACCACCCACCATGCTCTGCTCAGCCTGCACCCTCTGCCGCTCCCCATTTTACACAACGAGGGGGAAACAGGCAGTGCCCAGATGAAAATTCTAGCAAAGGAGGGAATGTCCTAACAAGGCAAACAACAGTCCTGAGCTGCCGTCACCCGAGCAGACACGGGATGGATAGCACTCAAGACTCTGCCGGCGCTGGGATCTCCGCCGCTGTCGTGGTCTGGGACGCTCACCTCTCCAGGTATTCCTTAACGTTATTGTAGCCATAGAATTTGGCCAGGTGGATGAGGATCCCCGTGGCACAGCGGCCGTCCCGCTTCCGGCAGTAGCTGCAGTTGCAGATCCCGCGGCAGGGAGGGCACACCCAGTCCTGGAAGAACAGTGGCCCCGTGACCTCTGCGCTCGGGCCCGGCCCCCACTGCCGCCCCTCCAGCCTAGAGTCCCATGTGCCTTCTAGGAAAGAGCACACGGTGACCCCATGGGTCTCCCTCCTCCACCTGTTTCAAGGCCCAGACAGGCTGACCACCCAGGGTGCCGCATGGGCAGAAACCCAACCAACAATTGTGCAGAATCTGAGGAGTACAAAAGAGCAGTGAGACCGAGGTGTGAATTCAAGCTCTTCTACTTCCTAAACCACTTCTTCACCGGAGTTTAGATTCGTCTGCCCACTGGGGACAGTACCTGTTTACCCCACATCCATAGGCCAGGGGCAAACTGAGGGCAGAGGCTCCGGAGCCAGACTGCCCAGGTTCAAGTGTATGGATCCTAACCGTACTATTATCTCATTTTACAGAAGGACCTGAGGAACAGGGAGGGTATATACCTACTTCGCTAGGTTAAACGAAATAGCCAACCACATTAACAGAGGCAAAAAACCTTAGACCAGGGCCCAGCACACCAGAAGCACTCTCCACAGTGACCTCCCTGCCCCCCCAGCCTTGCCCGAGCTAACCCCGTTGCTGGAGGAGAGCGCACAGGTCCACCTTCAAAATCAGAACTGTAAAAAAGTGTGGCTCTGATCCCTGCAGACATCTCCTCTGTCATACCGGCCAGCGTGCTCATTCCAGAAGGAAGCTGTACTTTTCATTTCCTCCAGCGTGCTGGGTCAGGGGGATAGCGCACTGCAGCTAGTAGGTCCCTGATAGGGCCCGAGGAGCCCTTCTCTCTGCCAGTACAGTTCATCACAAACGAACACGACTCCTACCGGGTCCAGCAGCGCCGATCTCACATCCTCCCCGTAGCGATTCCTCAGGCACGGCCCGCAGAACTGTCCTCGCACCCCGCCGCAGCTCTGGTTCCGACACACGGTCTTGGTGTCGATGGTCTTCTGCCTACACTGGTGGCAGGTGTTGCCCTGAGGGAGGAAGACGGGATTTAGAGGGTGATACCCACAAGGCCACATGCGGCCATGTACGCTCATCGGGGCACGAAGCAGCACGGCCTCTTTGGCACAAACCACAGCCCCGTCTAGAAGCCCGGAAGGAAGGACATGATCAGACCAGCAGAAAGCCGTGAGGCAGGGAAGAGCCCACAGACGGTGACAGGGGCCCAGTGGCCATGAGTCCCAGGCAGCAGCACGGGGCTCCGGCCTCGCTTCCGGGAATCTGGGTCTTTTCAGAATACAATTTCTTGGTGTTAAAATGCTGACAAGTAAAAACCTCTTACTACCTTAAGTAATAGGACACTGCCTCATCTAAAAAAAAACGATGCATACCACCACGAAGCCTCCCTCTGAATCACTGTTTAATAAAAAAAATATTTAATCCATTTCCTACTGACTGAAGATACTCTGTCAAACTAGTTCCTATGGGGGCGCCTGGGTGGCTCAGTGGGTTAAGCCGCTGCCTTCGGCTCAGGTCATGATCTCAGAGTCCTGGGATCGAGCCCCATATCGGGCTTTCTGCTCAGCAGGGAGCCTGCTTCCTCCTCTCTCTCTGCCTGCCTCTCTGCCTGCTTGTGATCTCTCTCTGCCAAATAAATAAATAAAATCTTTAAAAAAAAAAAAAAAAAAAAAACTAGTTCCTATGGCTCTATGAATCAAAAAGCACACAAAAAAACCCCACAGTATGTTTTTCCAATGTTTAAAACATGAACACCCTAAAGAGTACTTAAAATGTGACTATTCTAAATGCGCTTTTCCAAACTATACGCCTGCCTTCCCAAGGATCATACGCATCCCCCAGAGACCTTTCCTGAGAATTCCTACACCAAGCGGCTTCCCCTTCCCAGTCACAGCTGACCCTCCCTGTCAGAGGGGAGAAGGCCTGGGGGTATGAGCCCAGCTATAGTTAAAGACAATGCAAGGTTTCAAATACCACTGACTCAGACTCCCCATTAGAATCACAAGCATGCGAATTATTTGTTATACATAATTTACCAGAACTTTATCATAGATTTTATCTCGAACAGTTATGGCAACATTTTCTAAGTCCTCTTCAGTGATATCCTCCACTGGCCGAAAAGAAGATATTCGGTGACGCCGTCTGTACCCCTGGCATTTCCCCTGTAAAACGAACCAAAGCAGAACCTGGCATAAGCTGTTTTGACTGGTTAAAAAACACATAAAAATTTCATACTCTGAGGGCACCTAGGTGGCTCAGGCGGTTAAGCCTCTGCCTTCAGCTCAGGTCCTCATCTCAGGGTCCTGGGATAGAGTCCCGCATGAGGTTCCCTGCTCAGTGGGGAGTCTGCTTCTCCCTCTCTGCGCCACCCCGCACCCCGCCCCAGCTCATGCTCTCTCTCTCTCAAATAAAGTCTTAAAAAAAAAAAAAAATCGTTTCTCACTCACAAAGCTCTAGACCATAATGTTAACCATGTCCCCCTTCTACTCCCCTGGCATCACTCATTACAGAGCTCCTGCCACAGGCACGGGACCAGCTGCCTTCACGGCACGGTCATACAACAGTAAATGAGCAGCCCAGGTTTTCCCTGGCCAAGAAATCGTCAGCAGCAGCTATAAACTCTGTGAGGACGGGAGTGAACCACAGTGAACGGCCACACCTGCAAATGGGAAGGACCTAGTTTCTCGCTCCAGACTCTGAAAGCACTTAAAACACCCTGTCCTAAAACTGAAAGGCGAGGAGGAATCCCTGCCCTTTCCCACCAGCAAAACCACAAGGAAGACTGGATGGGCCTTTGTTGCCTCCCCGGCCGATTAAGCTGAGGCTCTTCACCCTGAGCAGCTCCTCTGCTCGGCCGAGGTGGAGGGCGCTCTCCAGCCTACAGCTCAGGTCGGAGTGGGGGGTTTGTCCCTGAGCGTGGTCCTGGGAACACCAGCGCTGCCTGGGAACGTGATAAAGATGCCCACGTAGCAGCACGCCTGCCAGGTCAAGACCACAGCACTGGCTTAGACCAAGAATAACCTGTTTGTGGTGCTCAGAAAATACCCCACTCATCGTCTTCCTTCTCCTGAAACTGTAGAACTCTTCTGCAAATTTGGCAGCTGAGACGGTGAAGTTCTCCAGGGCAAATTTCTCGGGAGGCCGTGCACTCCGGGCCGGGTTGGTGCGCCGGGTGACCTGTCCCTCGGAGAACGCCCGCCTTGAGGCCCTCTTCTTCTGCAAGCAAGAAGAGCACAGACCACTGCAAGGGGAGCTGCCTTGAATAAAAGCCGTCTGGGAACAGATCCCGTCCGTCAGTGCTGGCATCAGGAATTATAAAGGAGTTCTACTTACAGAAGCTGAGTTTGGGGTTCGTACTGGGAAGAAATCTGGCATAGAGTTCAGTTCCGCCAGTAGCTGAGCGAGCTGAGGGTCGGAACAAAACAGAGGACCTCACATCAGTACTGCCACGCCTCGTTCATTAACAAACCTTATCCCCATGTCCTCAGTTTTGCCAACATGAGAAACGTGACCCAAGTAGTTCAAGTACAGTCTCAACAGTTGCTGTGTTTTTGACCTCGTATGTAAAGATTTCTACCTCCAGAGGGAAGACGCAGGGATCATCATTCATAGGAATAAAATCTATACCCATTCTTTATATATAAAGGTCGTCACAGCACAGGATGAACGGGCCCCTGGAATGAGGTGGCTGGCTGCAGGAGGTGGGACTCCTGACGGCGCCCCTGACGAGCAGCGTGACCCCTGGAGCAGATCATCGTGCACAGCTAAGTCATGTTTTGTCAAAAACAAGAGGTTCAACTTGACTGTTCGGACAGTTACTTAGAGCCCAAAAAAACCTGTTTAGATTGATTTTTCATTAGAAAAATAACTTGCGGAAATAATCCCATTTTCATAAGAACCTAAGAACACCGAATAACAGGCATTAATATCCCAATCAATTCAGATTTTTAATTTTAGATTTTAACAAATGTACAGGTGTCATTAAAAATTCACGAATATAGTTATTTTAAAAATGCAGATACAGTGCTAAAAACTTCCCTTAGCTAATCACAAATATGTCTTAGGATAAGCTACACTCAAAAGGAGGCTTTTTATTTTCTTACTAGACATCTAAGTCTGTGTATATACGGTATCATATTATGCTTTTTAAAAAGAAAATATTAGAAATATTCCAAAATACTAAAAGTAACTGAATGGCAGAATTCTAATTCTGTATATACAAAATTACGAAGCCAACAAGTTAGTGACCAAATATAGAAAAACCAAATACACAAAACAACGATTTCCCCTTGTGTCATCATTCATTCCAGGGAAGACATGTTCACGTGATTCACACCTGCTCAGTGTAATACTGAGGCCTCCTGCATTCCCTCATCTGAGGTCCTGAAGCCCCAGGGGGTCATCAAAGGACTTCTCGCTGCAAGTTGCTCACCACAGCCCTTACGTGGGCTCCTCCACACCCAATCCACATCTGCTCCTCTCTGCTGGGAACTGCCAGCTGTTCAGCCCTCCCCTCTCCAATACCACCACCTAGTGGAAACTTAACTTTCTAATAGACAGGAAGTAGCAAGAGGTCACCGCACTAGGACAAGGAGCTGAAAATCATCCCGAGGGCTGGCTTTCTATTTCCAAGCCACAGCCGATCCAGTGTCAACTGGCTGGGGGTTCAGGAAGAGAGGAAGGACACCCAATACCCAGGGGACACTTCCTGAAGGCAGCCAGGGCTGCCGAGGCTCCCAGGACAGCCCTGGAGCCCCAGAGCCCCGGACGGCCCACCGCAGGGCCTTACCATGGCTTTGTTCTCCCTGATGTTCATGGTCCTCTTCAGCAGAGCATCCGAGCCCTCCTGGCCCTCATCCCTGGACTCATCCTCGGACTCCGAGACCGAATCCTCTCTTTGCTTCCCCTGTCTGCAGCTTCTCTTTCTTCCAAGAATGGCTTTTTTACTGTCCTGTAAGCGTGTGCTAGAAAACGGCGGCTCCGAAGAATTGTCTGACTTTTTTGCCAGTTTCTTGGTGGGGAACTGAAAGGCTACTCGAAGACCGATACTGCTCCTCCTGGGCCTCCTTCTTCTAGGTGTAGCCTTTGCTCCTTCGTCCTCCTCCTCTTCCTCACTCACTGAAGACGTCTTACCCGCATCACTCAGATCTGACTCCACAAGCTAACAAAACCAAAGAGAAGAGCAGACCGTGTTTTGTGACAGACCTCCCAGAACATGTCATTTAAAAGCACTCCGTCATTACTGCAGAGAAAAGACAAGAAGTAAGCTCCCCCTTCCTATTGTGAGCTCCTGCTGAACTCTCAGTGAGGTGCTCTGCTGAGGCACCTGGTGGAGAGCAGGCATTCTCCTGCTGCCCTCTGGCCCGGCCCCCGGCGGACTGCCGCCTTTGGAGCACGGGCTGGAAGTGGGGTGCTCACAAAGGAGGGCTCCTCCACTGCGCAATGGCGGAGTATTAGGAGGACTGGCCAAAGAAAAGGCTGTGCATGGTGTAAGCGTTAGCAAGGTAACAATGGAGCGCTCGGGGAAGACAAATACTCTTCTGCCCTGAACGGGAGGAACAGGGCTTCTAGAGGGGACAGGAGAGCTGACCTCACCTCAGTCAACGACAGAGGAGCAAGCAGATGATGGGCCAGCGGGGTCAGTGGGGGAGCCTTATCCCCAGGATATGACAGGTCCTCCCTGCCAGGGTCGTCCTCTCCCTGTTCTGCAATCCATGGAGCCGCAGGGGGACATCAAGGCAGACAGCTCTTGGGTTGTTGTGAGGCACCTGTTCTGTCAGCTCAAGAAACTCTCACCCCCAATTATCTGATTCTGCTTGATACGGGTTTCTGGCATTAAAATGGAACTCAGTCTTACACATGAGAACACAGAAGGCAATGGCAGGGTAACGTTACCCAGGTGCGACAGATGACATCTCAGATGCCAGGGGACTCTTAACAACGACAGACACAGGCTTGACTATGGAGGTCATCTTTCCTTTACATGCAAAGACCCTCTCTCAGGGACTCTGGACAACAGGGCCGCTGTGAGGAGAACAGGGAGCAGCACCACAACGGCCCCAGGTAAAACCATTCACTGAGGTAAATAATAGCTTCCTCCTCGGTGACTCCCCCACGCCCTAAATTCTAGCTGGACTCAAGTTAAAAATAAGGCAGAGGACGGGCACCTGGCTGGCTCAGCTGGCAGAGCATGTGACTCGTAATCTCAGGGTCGTGACTTAAAGCCCCACACTGGGCATGGAGCCTACTTTAAAGAAGAAAAAAAAAAAAAACCTAAAAAATGTATTGGGGCACCTGGGCGGCTCAGTCGGTTAAGTGTCCAACTCGATCTCAGCTCAGGTCTTGATCTCCATGTCATAAGTTCAAGCACACTGGGCTGGAGCCTACTTTAAAAATGAATAAATAAGGAAAGTGGGGGGCAACGTGCAGATAGCTTCCAAATCTTGGGATATGTATCAATCCACAACATGCCAAGGAGAGAAATAAGACCACAGTGTACTGATTTTTTTGTTGTTGTTTTTTTGGGTATCCTGAACTTTCTACATCAGTAACTTTAGAATCCAAATGGTGGGACTGGAGGAATCCAATGTTAGGAAGACAGTGTTGGAGAGCTTCAGAGGAAATCTCTCTCAGATTGGCTTTATTTATCTGTATCATCCTCCAACCTGTATGTGGCAGCTTCACATACAGCTGGAAGACCATGAGACACCAGGGGATAACATCCTACTGTCAGAGAATGTGGTCTCGCTGGTCCTCACTACGGTGGGCGGGAGGTGGGGGAGGGAGACAGTAACACGGAGACAGTAACACGTGTTGGCTCACTGCCTGGGAAAACCAAATTTGTAGGTGGACCTGCCCTAAGCTATGAGTTCTATCAATCAGCAGGTCACAATTAATACCCCAAATGTATAGACCATGAATAAGGGGGGAAAGAAACCTTTGGAGTAGTCTTCCCAGTGCTAGGAACACAGATTCTCTGAATCATCTGACCTCACTTAGCCAAAAATCAGAAGACAAGTCAGTCACTAAGAGTAGACAATACCCATTAGGGTCTGGAGGGATTTTAGTTAAGTGTCTTGCCGACAAAAAACCGGAGGCTGGCCAGCCAGACCTCCAAAGTAGGTTTGGTACTGGCCAACCAGTACCAAACCTACTTGGCACAGCATATTTAAACTTCTACCCAAGTTCCATGCCAGCTCGCCCGCCGTGGTTCCTTAGGGAGCTTCTGAATGGGAAGAGGTTTAACCTCCATCCTTTATCTTGATACCAAAGAAGGAAACAGTGGGCTGATTTGGATGGATACATGGATGCTATTTTTCAGTTAGCAGAAGACACTCTGATGCCTGGAAAAAACCCAAAGGTTGTTCTCTAAAGGTACCCGGAGAGTCCAATACTAACTTGATGGTACACTGGCCTCAACATGGGGAGTGAAGGAAGAAATCACCAAGTCTCCTGAAGGTCAAGTGCTGAGAGCAGACCTTCCTCAGCAGTCGACAAGGTCATCTTTATCACTGAAAGAGCATTTCTGCATCCAAACCAAGAATACACAGGGAAAACTCTAAGTTTGTACCACAGCTACATTTTGGCCAAATTAACTCCAAACCTAAGAGCATGACTTTATACACAACAAGAAATGACTTTAAGGAACTTGCTACTCCTAGATAGAGGGTCCTCTTTCCAGATAAAAGATGTTCCCGAAAGTCTAAAATAAATTCTTTCAGAAGGACAGTAAGGGACACCTGAGATATGTCCCCCCAAAACCCCTAAGGTACCAGGGAAAGACAAGTGGATTTCCTGTAGGAGAATAATGGACTGGTGGGCCAGGAATTAGCCTTAGAATAGCCAATTCTGTATTTTGTTAACTGGCTTAGAAGATAAACATGTAAGAAAAAGTCATTCATTTACAAAGTGACTTCTTACAAGAAAATACAATTCAGAAACAGGACAGAAAATATGAAAACCCACACTCTCCCGCATTGATAATTCTTACCATGACTTCTGGGTTACTATTTTCATTCAGGTCATTCTGCGTAAATCCTTCAAATTCTTCCGTCTCTGAGTCAGTGTCCTCTATAAAAATTCTTCTTAGCTCTTCCGAAAAGTATTTGGAATGGAAACGTACATCTTGCTAAATTAAAAACACAAATGTCATAAAGAAAGAAGAACAGAGGTGACCAGGGGGCGAAGGGGAAGTGAAGAGTTGTTTAATGGGGAGTTTCTGTTTGAGGGGATGAAAACGTCCTAGGTCACGGGGACAGCTGTGCAACCCTGTGCATGTCCTTGACGCCACTGAGCATCTCACTGGTAAGAACCTGGGCACTCGCCCACACTTAAAAAATGGTGAAATGGGGACGCCTGGGTGGCTCAGTTGGTTGGACAACTGCCTTCGGCTCGGGTCATGATCCTGGAGTCCCAGGATCGAGTCCCGCATCGGACTCCCAGCTCCACGGGGAGTCTGCTTCTCTCTCTGACCTTCTCCTCGCTCATGTGCTCTCTCTCAAATAAATAAATAAAATCTTTAAAAAAAAAAAAAATGGTGAAATGGGAAATTTTATGCTATGTATATTCTACCTCAATAACCGAACACACACCCGTAGACACACACATCTTTGTATAGCTTAGAGAAACAGAACTGAACAATTTGAAACAACTACACCCTTTCGAAGAATCAGCATGGCCATGGGCTCAGCCAGCTGCTTCTGTGGCTGGTGAGTGGCAATGGACTTCAGCTCCTCCTGCCGGGGCTGGCCATCAGGAAGTGCTGTGCTCTCACACAGAACCGAACACACATGGGAAGGAGCCACGGGGAGCAGCCCTGGCTCCCTGCCATAGGCCGACTCTCCCTCCCAGCAGCTGTCCAGAGCCGGCTCCCCCAAGTCAGTGAACACAGCCTGCCTCGCTTCCAGAGACAGCAAGTTTTTGTGCAGTAAGGGCCAGAGCCCTTCACACCCCTCCATACCCCCTGCTGAGAAAGCCACCTCTGCACCCTGACTGCCCAGGGCAGGGGAGGATGGGAGCGTCAACCCTCCCAGCACCCAGGAGAGCCTGTCCTGCAGGAGGTGGGAGGCCAGCAACCACAGACAGGTAGCAAGTGAGCAGAAAGAAAGATGCTCTAGGATGCTTAAAAAAGAAAGACATTTTCAAATGACTTTTTCTGTCTTTTGAACCAGTAAAAGGCAAGGAACCAGGCTCTCTAAATGGCTCTCTTGACAGAAAGGAGGGAACCGACAGACCTGCACTGCGGAAAGGAGACCCCCAGACCGGCCTCCTCCAAGCTGGCAACCAAGGCTGGAGTCAGTGTCCCCAGTTGCCTCTGACGTCTCTTCCTCCCGCACCCGATATAGCAATGACCCCTCCTCGCACCACATTTGGTTGGAGAATCTGTATCTCCCCCACTGCCTCTCCCTGACTTTAATTATATACTTCTTCAAGCTCACATCATCTCTGGAGAAAAATAGATATAATAGATGAGTGGGAAAATTTACAGGGGGATAGAGAAAGAAATGTCTGTATCTAGCATTTTTTTTAAGCTTAAATGTCTCCTATGAATTATTATGGGTAATTGGAATGAGTGTGCTTGGAGCTAAATTATTTTGTTTCTTTGTTGATAGCTGTGGTGCAGCTGCTTGGAGAAAAAAATAAAAAAACAAACAAACACAAAAGGGAAGTTTCTTTAAAATGAAATTCAAATGGTGTTTAAGAAAGACCAAAGTCAACCCTGCTGCATGCTGTGTGCAAGTCCGTGCGGCTTCTCTTGGCTGTTTAACATGCATCATGCGCGTATGGGGTCAGGGAGGAGAAGCAACAGGGCCGGGCTGATCTTTAAGGAAGACCGGGCCGCGGCTGGCCGCCACAGAAAGCCACCAGGAGCCTGCTACGTACCAGGGCAGGAAACATCCGGCTCACGGAGCCCAGAGCTGGCCTCTGCAGGTGGCTCTAGGGCAATGCGGTCTCTGTGTCCATTCTGTCATAGACCCACTGTCCCTGCCTCGGGCCCAGAGAGAACAAGTCACATCGCAGAGCAGCAAGCTCCAGCCTTCCGTCCTCTGGCTCGCTTCACTCACTGAGCTGGCCTCACAGGGAAGTGGTCAGCCTGGGGGCAACTGGTATCCTTGGTGACCAGATCAAACCCAGAAAGAACTCAGCCACAGTCCTAAACCAAGGCCCCTGCTTTTCTCCTCCTCATTCCACAAGCTGTGAAAACTGTTCTGGGGGCACCTGAGTGGCACAGTCAGTTAACCGTCTGCCTCTCATCTCGGTCTTAATCTCAGGGTTGTGAGTTCAAGCCCCGCTCTGGGCTCCACGCTATGCACGGAGCCAACTTAAAAGACAAAACAAACAAAAAACAAAAAAAAAAGGTTCTTAATGTGAGTGTGTATAAAGCAAAATATCCACTCCATGGTCGGTCTCACTGCAGTCTTGGTTACAAGCTTACACAGCTCTTTGCTCTCCAGAATTTGTGACCCTTTCAAGTCAGTAGCAGGCAGTATGCTCTGGCCCGGGTCCCCTGTATCCATCTCCCATGATCAAGAACGTAAAGCAAGTAACAGATGAGAAGAGCTGCTGACAGAGCACATGCACTTTTTATTTTGAAGCTCATGGGACAGGAAGAAACCGACTGGAAAATGATGGTGAGCTGAGCCCGTCAGACCGGCCTCCCACCTCAATTCCACCCCGAGGGGGCTCATTCACCAATGGGCGCTGAACGCATGGAACATGAGGAAAGGGACAGCATGCGGAAGCTGTCCAACCCAGGAAAGCTGGGAGGCATCGGTCACGTATGGGGCGCCTCCCACAGCGGAGGTTAACGGTTTAGTGGGGCAGTGGGACAGAGGTGAGGATCAGTGTGACAAAGGAGACACGAGCAATATGGCACAGAAAGAAAAGAAAAAGAGAAAAGAATGAAAAAAGAAAAGAAAAAAGGAAGAAAATCTAGTAAAACTTCAAGCAGCAGCAGCAGCATTTGAACTGCATGTGAACGGGGGCAGACTCTAGAAAAATGAGGAGAAGACACACAAGCAGAACGAACAGCACAGCCCAGTGCCTACGGCAGGTGGACTGGTGTATGCGGAGGGTGCCCGTGCGGCTTCGGGTCCCCTGCAGCAAAGGGGAGCAGTGAGAGGGACGAGGCTGCCAAGTTATGCTCCCAGATCTCCAACATCCCGACCTGGACACTTCTCAGACATGGGGACTTAGACACGTCACCTCACTGCCCTGAGCTTTAGTTTCATCCCCTGTGAAACAGGGATGATGACAACACCTCCACTGTCCCCGGGAGGCGCGTACGTTCAGGGCAAGCTGTATGAAAGCACACGGTCACGGGCCATCTCAGGCACACTGGAGTCCCCGTCCACAGCCCCCCACCCCTGGCAGGGGGAGCAGGAAAGGCAGGTCTGACTGCACAGAAGGAACAGTGCCCAGAGCAGCAAAAGCAGCTGCTTTGGCTTTTTTGTTTTAAATTTCCATATTTGAATCTAGTTGACCCAGAGTGTTAGTTTCCAGTGTACAACACAGTGTTCCACCTTCTTTGTACCTTACGCTGTGCTCAGTAGTGTAGCTCCCATCTGTCACCATACACCTCTGTTACAGTATCATTGACTAGAGTCCCTGTGTTGTGCCTTTGTGCCTTTTCAGCCCCATGACTTTTTCGCTATGTCACTGGAGGCCTGTACCTCCCACTCCCCTTTCCCATCTTGCCCATCTCCCTACCTACCTCCCTGCTGGCAACCAACAGTTTGTTCTCTGAATTTATAGGTCTTATTCTGCTTTTTATTTTTGAGATTCCACAAGAGTGAAATCATATGGTATTTGTCCTCCTCAGTGTGACTTAGTTCACATAGCATAATACCCTCTAAACCCATCCATGTTGCCGCAAATGGCAAAAACCTCATCCTATTTATGGCTGTATAATATTCCATTGTACACATACTCAGCATCTTCCTTATCCATTCTTCCACTGATAGACACTTAGGTTGCTCCCCCATCTAATCATCAGGAAAACGCTAATCAAAACCAAACTGAGGGGCGCCTGGGTGGCTCAGTGGGTTAAGCCGCTGCCTTTGGTTCAGGTCATGATCTCAGGGTCCTGGGATCAAGCCCCGCATTGGGCTCTCTGCTCAGCAGGGAGCCTGCTTCCTCCTCTCTCTCTACCTGCCTCTCTGCCTGCCTGTGATCTCTGTCAAATAAATAAATAAAATCTTTAAAAAAAAAAAAAAAACCATACTGAGGTATCACCCCACGCCTGTCAGAATGGTTAAAATCAAAGAGACAAGAAGTAAGTGTTGAGGACGTGGAGAAAAAGGATTTACTCGTGCAGCACTGGCGGGAATGTAAGTTGGTATAGCCACTATGGAAAATAGTATGGAGATTCCTCAAAAAATTAAAAATAGAGCTACCCTATGATCCAGTAATTTCACTACTGGGTATACACCCCCCTCCCAAAAAAAACCCCCCAAACACTACTTTAACAGCCCTGTGTTTATTGCAGCATTATTTACATTATTTACAATAGCCAAGGTAGGGACGTTGTGTTGTTTCATGATGTCTTCGTGCCCATCCTGCGCTGCTCAGAATGGCCCTCATGGTGGACCCCAGGGCGCCACTCTCCCTCACTGCCTCGCCATGCTCAAACAGCTTCTCAATAAGGCAAGGAGCATGAACAGAGCTCAGTTTTGACAGTGAGGTAAGGGTTAGGAGGAACAGGGGAACAGAGGAAGGGAGGGAGGGGAAGGGATGGAGACGAGCAACATGGCAGAAGGGTCACAGGTGCCTGCAAGAGAGTTGGCAGATGGGAGAGGAGGGGGAGGGGGCACGAATACCAAAGATGGAGATAAAAATGAGGAAGACAAACTGACAACCAGGGAAGGAAAACGGTGAGTTTGAGATCCCCCCTGATCAAGACTGGTCCGACTGGCAGTCAGATTACATCCTTATGTGTGGGGCCTGGGAGGGAAGTCAAGCCATCAAGAACGTGCAGATAATGGCTGAAAACAGGCCAGGCCCTGGATCACGAAGAGAAAAAGGTCTGAAGACAAAATCTTGAACCACATCCACAAATGGGGACGGGAGACAAAAGAGAGGACGGTGAAGTATGAAACACGTAAGAAAGAGGAAGAGACCAAGGAGAGAAGCAGCAGGTGGTGAGCGGGTCAAATGAGACAGCACGTCAAGTGCAGAGGACAGAGACGGGGGAGGCCCCTCCACACGGTCAAGACCAGCTCCCACAGAGGCCGGAACACGCACAGCCCGGCCAGCAAGCAGGCACCTCCCTATACAGTCAATTGCTTCTCCTCCTGCACCTGCCCAGTCAAAGCCAGGTGGGCTTCATTTACAGCCTTGTAAGAGAAGCCGAGGTCAAGGGAGAATGAAGAATTCTGACAGCCACAATGACATTGAAGAAAAGGCCACCAAAGGCTGGTGATTCTGACTGGCCATGCTCCCGCTGAGGCACAAGAGAACCCTCCAGGAAACTAACTCTCAGAGAAATGTCTCTTGTGTTTGCCAGAGAGCCAATCCAAGAAAGGGTAACGCCCTCCCTGGCAATTCCAAGCGTGAGGTGCCGAGAGAATCACCCTCCAGGAGCCTAGGGACTGGCTCAGGGTAACTGCGAGGTCCTGCTCCGGACTGCGGTATGGACTGGTGTTGTGCGGGCCCAGCCTCTCCTGCCGGCCGGCCCGGAACTCTTTGAGTGCAGGCTCCACACAGGCTGCAACCCTGAGGTTGCAAAGAAAATGCATCTGATCATGTGAGGCCCCTTTAAAATATATATATATATATATATATATATATGTCATGCACAGAAAGGGCTTGAACAGTAAAATGATCTAGGTACTCTCCCTGGTTCTTGAAACATGAAGGCAAAACACTTATAAAACAAATGCTCGACAGTTAACCACGATCACCAATCTCAGACCAAATTCAAATAAAAGAGTATCGGAACCAAGATCAGGCTTCCCTCGGACCAGGCCTTCCATGAAAGGAACCATCCGTACCTGTTTCCCTGACTCCAGTGAGTCGAAACTATCACAGCTCTCCTCTGATGAGAGGGTTTCCATGGGAACATCATCTCGGAAACCAACAAACTCTTCATCATCACTGGGGGCGTTAAAGATGTCAGCCACTTCTTTAGGGACCTGTTTCGGATTCAAAAAAGAAGGATGAAACCAGGGGCTGTTATCATCACTTAAATTTTCTAGAGAGCAGGAGGAATTAGCATCTCCCAGCTCTATCGATCTGCCCAGTAACCCCGGAGCAGAATGTGTTTCAGCGGATTCCTCATGGCAACAAAAGAAGGTGGGGTAGGGAAGGACAAGAGTGTTTTCAAACCCCAGAGACGTATCCCATCTTACAGACAATGTCAAGGCCAGACCCAGATAGAATGTCAAGGCCAGACCTAACACAAGCCATGTGTCATCTCTTCACAAAAAATAAACAGTCATTGGGTTTTGAGAAACCAACAATCTATTTTTCCCCTACAGTGGATGTCTTTAAATCGTCATCTATGTCAACATAAGATATTACTAAGGTTTTTTTCATTTCTACCTGTAGCTCTTTAATTTTTCTGCTCTTCATCATCTGCTGATTCAGACATGGAAATCCATACAGCGAAATAAGCACCTTTTTGCTCCTTGTCTATATTCTCAATCAGTAGTTTCAGAATTCCAAGAGAATATAAACGCTATTATAGGCAAATATTCCAAGAATGTTGTCAGCGCACATCATCTAACAACTGTGTATCTGTTCAGAGTTCATTTTCATATGCTGACTACCCACTTGTTCCCAACTCTTTATTTTGAAAAAGTTCGAACCCAGAGTAAGGTGAAGGAATGGTACACACATCTCTATGTTCCTCACAGGAGTCCCCATATGTCACCACGATTGTTTTCTTTCAACAAACATTAAGTGGAACCATAGGCATTTGCTAGTATTTCACAGTTTGTGACCTAGAGAAGCAGCCAGTTAGTATGACCCAACTTAATCCACGTACATTTATTTTTTTTTAAATGTTTTATTTATTTGAGAGAGAGAATGAATGCACACAAGCAAGGGGAAAGGGCAAACGGGAGAGGGAGAAGCCGACTCCCCATGGAGGAGGGAGCCCCACGTGGGGCTCCATCCCAGAACCCTGAGATTACATCCTGAGCTGAAGGCAGCCGCTTAACCAACTGAGCCATCCAGGCACAATCTGTGTATAAAGTAAAGTGCAGACATCATACTAATTCACCCTAAAATACTTTAGCACCCTTCTCCTGAGAATAAAAACATTCCCCTATAGAGCCACAAAACTATAGTCTTACCTAAAAGAATTAACATTAATTCAATAATATCATTTACTACAAGTTTATATTTAAATGTCTGCAACTGTCCCCAAGATGTCAAGATCATGCATTGTATTTTTTATGACAGTATTTTTGTTGCTTTTCATGACACTGACATCATTTGAATAGCCCAAGACAACAGCCTTATCAAATATCATACATTCTGAGCTTATCCGATTGATTCCAGATACATTTAAGTAAAATATTTCTGGCAACAATTCTATACAAATGACATGCAGTTCTCAATGCAATGCATAAAGAGACACAAAATATTAGATGATCTCCTATTAATTAGTGTTAACGTAATTATGTAATTTTCAAACCAAACCCTACGTAGGCAGGACAGTACCATGAACACACACATGGACCCCGAAGCACTTCTGTGCCCGTGGCTAATCTTCCCCCATCTGTAGCCCTACCCAACTGCCCTCCTTCCAAATGATTTTGAAGCAAATGAAGATACAGTATCATTTCACCCTGTACCACCAGCAAATACAGAGTCTGTGTTCACAGTTCTGTTAACTTATATTTTTTTAACTCATTTGTATCATGATCTGAATAAGCTCCGTACACCGGTCAATAGCTCTATAAAGTCTTTTCTCAGGTGTCCCTTTTTTATCCCTTTGGCAACTTATCTTTGAAGAAACTGGGTCTTCTGTGGAGTTTGCAAAAATCTGGAAGTTTGTGTTTGGGGTTTGTGTCTGTCTGTTGAGGTGCTAGATAGTATTTAATAAACTCCTATGTCCCCACAGATTTCCTATGATTTGGTAGTTGAAGTTACAGGCTCAGTCAGATTCAAGTTCTTCTTTCTGACAAAATGAGGACTACTTCACAGGTAGTACCACATTTTTCACTTCGAGAGCACATAATGGGGTGCCTGGGGTGGCTCAGTGGGTTAAGCCTCTACCTTCGGCTTAAGTCATGATCTCAGGGCCCTGAGATCAAGCCCTGCCATCAGGCTCTCTGCTCAGCAGGGAGCCTGCTTCCCTCCCTCTCTCTGCCTACTTGTGATCTCTGTCAAGTAAATAAACAAAATCTTAAAAAAAAAGAAAAGAAAAAAAGAAAGCACATAGTATCTGGCTATCTCTGGTTTTTAGTGGTGATGCTCTCTGATCAACATGTTAAGGTGGGATGTGCCCTATTTCTCCTTAGCAAAAATACCTTTTCCTCTCTGTATTTAGCATGAAGTAAGTAGGGTGATGTTTGACATTCTGTGACTATCCTTCCCCCGAAAACAATTCACTCAGTGGTTTCAGCATCCATTGACAGCTCTTACCTGAATCAATTACTACACATGAGAGGTTCCAAAATGGTCATTTTCACATTCTATTCGTTCTTCATGTATTAGCTGGCATTCTTCTATAATACAATACACACTCTCTCTTGCTATCCCCCTCCCTCTCTCTGCTTCTCTTGCTCCCATGTAGATTCATGGTATTTTTTTTTTAATTCAATGTGCTATATAATTCATTACTGTCACCATTCTTTCTGATGCTTAAATTATCCTAAATTTGGCCAATGGGAGCTCCTTCAAGCCAATTGCTATGTCCTTTTGACATAACCCTAATAGTCTTTGCGTAACTCTTTGCTTTCTGGCACAAGTGTACCAAGCTAGCCTTAAACTTCCCCTGCCCCAGACCCTGGATCAGCCATTTTCCCAAAATGCACAGGCATTGAGAAATCAGAGGTGAGGACTTGGTACACCCCTTGCTAGTTAAGTATCATCGCTTCTAAGTTCTGACTGGACAGGGTAATGTATTTTTAAATGTCTTAAGTCACACATTCACAACAACACCTTGAATTCAAATCCAAAATCAGGATTCTTCCTCACCTCCCCCCATCTCAGATTATTTCCCTTTTCTCACAATGAAAGCTCCAACTCTCAGTATTTTGCATACACTTACCCCACTTACCCATTTGCTTTACCTATAAGACACACAAAACAGTTTCAAACTTTACCATCAACACCACTACCAACAACCATCAATGACAATCAAGTTTAAGATTCTTTCATAGTTCTTTATTTTTTTTTAAGATTTTACTTATTTATTTGACAGAGAGATCAAAAGTAGGCAGAGAAGCAGGCAGAGAAGCAGGCAGAGAGAGAGAGAGAGAGAGAGAGAGGAGGAAGCAGGCTCCCTGCTGAGCAGAGAGCCCGATGCGGGGCTCTATCCCAGGACCTGAGATCATGACCTGAGCTGAAGGCAGAGGCTTTAACCCACTGAGCCACCCAGGCACCCCTCTTTCATAGTTCTTATCAAATTCAACACCCAAAGAACAAATAATCCAATCAAGAAACGGGCAGAAGACACCAACAGACATTTCAGCAAAGAAGACATCCAAGTGGCCAAGAGACACATGAAAAAGGGCTCCACATCACTCAGCATCAGGGGAAAAACAAATCAAAACCACAGTGAAATACCACCTCACACCAGTCAGAATGATAAAATTAACCCATCAGGAAATGACAGATGCTGGCGAGGATGCGGAGTAAGGGGAACCCTCCTACACTGTTGGTGGGAATGCAAGCTGGTGCAGCCACTCTGGAAAACAGCATGGAGGTTCCTCAAAATGTTGAAAGTAGAACTACCCTAGGACCCAGCAATCGCACTACTGGGTATTTACCCTAAAGATACAAACGTAGTGATCCGAAGGGGCACGTGCACCCCAGTGTTTATAGAAGCCATGCCCACAATAGCCAAACTATGGAAAGAACCTAGGTGTCCGTAAGAGACTCTTAATCTCACGAAACAAACAGGGTTGCTGGGGTGTGGGGGGTTGGGATAGGGTGGCTGAGTTATGGACACTGGGTAGGGTATGTGCTATGGTGAGTGCTGTGAATTGTGTAACCCTGATGATTCACAGACCTGTACCCCTGGGGCAAATAATACATGTTAATTAAAAAACAAACAGTGGCAGAAAGCACCAAAACACATGAATGCACATTTTTCCTTGTACATTCACGCACATAAAGGCACAAAAGACGTCTGTGCCCAACTGTTGACAGAAATCACTTCCACAAAAGGAATTAAAGAGGACTCAGTGGGGATGGGGGGGATTCTTTTGTAGTTCTTTCTATCCTTGGTATATAGTCCCATTATTTCCTAGATCTTTGCCCTGAGATAACCTGACAATCACTTTCTCGGGGATGTAAAGGGACTCTATCTATACTTCCATTTCATCATGTGACTATTAAAGAGGTGCCCTCAAGGGCTGAGATTTTAATATAATAATTTTTACTGCTACGAGACATTTTTTTTTAAGAGGGAGGAAGAAGAGGGGCAGGGGAAGAGGGAGAGAGAGAACTGTAAGCAGGCTCAGTCTCACGACCCTGAGATCATGCATGACCTGAGCCAAAATGAAGAGCTGGGCACTGAGCTGACTTAGCCTCCCAGATGCCTCGACTGCAATAAGACATTTTTATGTGAAACTGCCACCTAGAATTATTACAACAATAATTCTGTCCTCGTGGAACCCTCGGGGGTCCCTAGACCACACCGTGTCGCACTAGCACACAGAGCGGTACATTCGGAAGTTACTTCAAGTCCTTGAATTTCTTTCTGTGCATTGAATTAATTTTACAGTTAGGTTCATTGAAGAAATCACTATTCTCTAATCTTATTTTTGTCGTGATTTTAATCTTCTTGTTCAACAAATGATGAGGAGGTCAATGGCTTAATTGAAGGAAGTTTCACATTTGGTATACAGAGAACACAAATCCAAAGTTGAATATGCCGAATTTAATGGTGTCAGAGGATTAACACACATGCTTTCCCACCATCTAATGAAGTCACCTTTGTCTTGGGACAAAGGGT